TATGCCCTGTCAGCTCTGGGGCTCAAACACGTGACAGCTGGATCAGACCAAAGGACCACTCAGTCCAGGCACCTGCATCCATTCTCCCCCGGGCTTGCCCCTTCCATGTGCCCTCGTGTTCAGATGGGCAGGAGAAAAAGAGGGGGCTGGAAAGGATGGTGCGCAACACATCACCCATATCACCCTCACATCCAGCCAAAACCCCAGGTGTTATTGTTGCACATCATTCGATGTTCTGGAAAATCTAGGGCAACACTAATGGGTTTCTGTAGTGTCTGTGTCCAGGTTTTCAGCCAGACGAAACATCAACGTGACATTGAGTCTACCCCATGCCCCACCCTATAGCTCGCAGTGGGGCCAGGCAACCACTTGGCATTCCTAGTCCAGTATCCTGTTTCTGACTGTGTCCTGCCAGATGCCCTTGGAAAACCTTCAAGCAGGGCCACAGAAGCCAAACTATTGGCCCCTAGCTATGGGTTTTCAGAGGGATGCTGCCCCAGAACATGGAGATTGCATAGATTTGTAATGGCTGGTGGCTGTGCTGAGATTGGTCTAGCTTTACCATTTTGACCCACCTGGAGTCCCCCTCACAGAAGGAAGGTGAGCTATTTTAATTCCTGGGACTAAGAATGGAATCCCCTTCCACGAATCTCTCTCTACCTCATACTGCTTCCCAACTTATTAGTTTTGAGCAAATTATAACAATTAGAAAAGGCTAGACCCCATCTGAATGGCTGCGGAAGATTCGTAATATTTCACAGCTAAAAGAGTGATATGTCTGCTATTACCATCTAAGAAAAGAGGTAATGTCTCCATGTGATTGAGGAACTGTAGTCGTTGCTCCACATGTGTATCCCAGCGGGAAACACAGGAGTCCTCTCTAAGTCTACATATTCCTTTTGGATGTCGGAGTGCCTAATTTTAAGGGGGAAAGCCTTCAACCAGGCCCGAGTTTCAAGAGGGCTCTCCTAATGCAGCTTGGAGGGCTACCCCCACTACAGAATTCGGGATTCCATAGATGGAACACGGGATTTAAGAAGAACTGAATCGAAGGACTCCCCGATTTTGTCATTCCAGATACCAGCCCCGTATAAACTTTGCACGGCCACCTTGGCGTTCAAAAAGCTTGATGGTGGCTGGGATACGCTGAGGCCCAGATGAAGAAAAGAAACCACAGAGGATAGTTGATGTCGCTGTAGCCAATCTTAGCCAATCTTTTAACATGAGCAGCTTGCACTACTGACCAAGTTCATCTCTGGTCAAAGCAGACCCCTAAGTATTTCAAATCGGGGGACCTCCTCGATATCCTCCCGTGAATCTGTCTAATCCCCCCTCCAAGTGAGTGGCCATCACTACATCCTCTGGCCCTGAGCCCCAGAAGAAGAAGAGAAGAAGAGATTGGATTTATACCCCGCCCTTCACTACCCAAAGGTGTCTCAGAGCGGCTTACAAACTCCTTTCCCTTCCCCTCCCCACAGCAGACACCCTGTGAGGTAGGCGGGGCTGAGAGAGCTCTTGACAGAAACTGCTCTTTTTCAAGATCTTATCAGAACTAGGGCTTGCCCAAGGTCATCCAGCCAGGTGCAAGTGGAGGAGTCAAACCCGGATCTCCCAGATTAGAGTCCGCGCACTTAACCACTACACCAAACTGGCTCACCGTGTACTCTGTGTTGTGTGCAGTGGTGTTTCCTTTTCCCCCCATCCTAAATCTTCTACCCAACAACTTCCCTATGTGCCCCAACCCTATCCGGGCACGAGGCACCCTTACCACGCGAGAGGGCATCTTGGGCCTGCTCCCTCTGCCCTTCCTCCAACGGAGCTTCTTCTGCTTCCATCTTCACTGATGGTCCCCACACCTGAAAGTGCAGAAAAGATGGGTAAGAGAAGGAATGGAACAGGCTGAGGAGACGGCTCCAGCCCCACTCCCAATTCATCACATCTGCATCAACCAGCACAGCTGGTTCACCCACGGGGACAGGAATCAGGGATGGGTTTTTTTCCCAGCCAAGTGGATAATCTACAGGCAGAAACGACCTTAGAATCAGGTCATCACTTGAACTGATTGAAAGGAGGGGGAAGAAGAGGAGGAGACGACTGGATTTATACCCTACCCTTCACCACCTGCAGGAGTCTCAGAGCGGCTTACAGTCTCCTTTCCCTTCCCCTCCCCACAACAGGTAGGCAGGGCTGAGAGAGCTCTTTCCAGAACAGCTCTGAGAGAACTGTGACTGACCCAAGGTCACACCAGCAGCTGCGTGTGGAAGAGTGGGGAATCAAACCAAGTTCTCCCAAATTAGAGTCCCTGCTTGTAACCACTACACCAAACCCCCTCACCTGTTCTGCCTGCTTCTTCTCCTCTGCCTGACTCAGAAGAAAACCTTCGGCCAGGGCCACCGCCTGGGAACTGGTATCTGGCCCACAACCTCTGACCCAGCACTGCATTTCCTCGGGCAGAATGGCCAGGAACTGCTCCAGGATCACCAGGTCCAGGATCTGCTTCTTGGACCGCCTCTCCGGCTCCAGCCATTGGTTGCAAAGTCCATGGAGCCGGCTGCAAACCTCTCGTGGCCCATCCACCTCCTGGTAATGGAACTGCCTGAACCACTGGCTGCGTACATCTGTGGTCATAGTGTCCTGAGCCATGATCTCTGGAGCAGCTCTTTCCCAGAATTCAACGCCACTCCCTGCTTGGATGGGATAGGGGCCTTTCCTTGATCTCTTGCTTATTCCAGGTCCTCCTCTTCCATCTCCTTTCGCATCTGTTGGGTAACCTGTGTGGGTTCTCTGATGATGTTCTTGAAGATGGTCTCTACATTCCAACCTCTTTCCACACTCTGAGCACTCAGAAGGTTTCTCCCCCATGTGGCTACTTAGATGCCTTTGAAGATTGCCACTCTGGCCCAATCTCTTTCCACACTCCGAGCACTCAAAAGGCTTCTCCCTTGTATGGATTACTTGATGTTCGTGAAGGCTATCACTCCGTCTGAATCTCTTTCTACACTCTGGACATTCAAAAGGTTTCTCCTCTGTGTGCATGATTTGGTGCAAAAGGAGATGTGATCTGCACTTGAAACGCCTTCCACACAGAAGGCATTGATGTGCCTTCCCATCAAACAAACTCTTCCCACTCTCTGAGCAGATCAGTGGCTCTCCTCCTGAATGGTGGGAACTCTCTCTCTGGTGTTGAATAAGGTTTGATTTCTCTGAGAACGTCTCGTCGCATTCTGGGCGGCAATACAGCTTCTCTCCGATATGGATTCTTTGGTGTGCGATGAGATCTTCTCCACAGAGGAAGCTCTTTCCACACTCGGGACATTCAAAAGGTTTCTCCTCTGCATGGGTTGTTTGGTGCAAAAGGAGATGTGACCTGGACTTAACTGCTTTCTGTGTGGAAAGTGTTTCATGTGCCTTCCCATCAAATAAACTCTTCCCACTCTCTGAGCAGATCAATGGATCTGCTCCTGAATGGTGGTCTCTCTCTCTCTGGTGTAGGATAAGTTTTGATTGCTCTGAGAACCTCTCGTCACATCCTGGACAGCAATACAGCTTCTCTCCTATATGGATTCTTTGGTGTTTCATGAGTTCTTCTCCACAGAGGAAGCTCTTTCCACACTGCAAGCAACTATGGGCCTTCTTCGCAGGGTGCTTTTGCAAATCAATATCATATTGAGTTTGATCTGAGGAATTCAATCCCCAATCCAAGCATTCGTGAGTTTCCTCCTCCACCATGTGAATTACTTCACGGACATCCTCTCCTTGACAAGGAATGGCTTTCCCCTGTGTCTTCTCTCCACGGTTTCCTTCCTGCCTCTCTGGTCCATCTCGATCCCGGAAGTTACATTCAGACTCTTCTTCCTTGTCTCCTTCCAATGAGCACTCCCGGAATTCCTCAACCGTCTCCTCGATCCCTTCCGCTGGAATAAGGGAGAGACCCAATCAGCACTCATGCAAGAAGCCGAGCCACATATCAGCCTTTCTTGATCGATCGTGTGCCTTTTCTATCCTCTCTCAGAGCTTCCTTCCCCATTCCCCTCAACCCTGAGCTACTGGTCACAATCTTACCCTTCGGCGGTGCTGTTTTTAGATTCTGACTATCCCTCCCTCCTTAAAACACCCCAATATATACTTTAAGGAACAAGGTGGCAAAGAATCATTCCCCAACCCTTTGCATTTGACTTGCCATGCAGGTCTTCTGATGACTGGGTACAAGAAGGTACCAGGATCTCTAGCCCAGTGAATATACAGAGAGTTTCCTTCCTGGTCTGGTGAGAGTTGCGAGATGCTGGTTTTTCAGCCTCCCAAAATATACGGAGGAGCCAGAAGCTCACAAACTGAGCCCCACAGTTCAAGGAGGACACCATGATTTTTGGAAGATATGCCAGTTGTTTGGGAAGGAAAGGCCAGGGGGCATCTAGTTCAGGGGTCCCCAAACGTTTTGAGCCTGCAGGCACGGGTGGATGTTGAGGATCCCGATCCAGCGGACCACTCTAGGAAGCAGGAGATACAGCTTTCTCCTCATCCAGCAGGGCTCACATTACCAGCCCTTTTCCTGGAACATTTCAGAATTTACAGATACTGCAGCCCCTCAAAAGCCACAGCTGAGCTTTTGCCCAGAAGGAAGAAGAAGAAGAAGAGATTGGATTTATACCCCGCCCTTCACTTGGAGTCTCAGAGCGGCTTACAAACTCCTTTCCCTTTCCCTTCCCCTCCCCACAACAGACACCCTGTGAGGGGGGTGGGGCTGAGAGAGCTCTGACAGAAACTGCTCTTTCAGGAACAGCTGTGCCAGAGCTTGTGACTGACCCAAGGTCACATCAGCAGGTGCAAGTGGAGGAGTGGGGAATCAAACCCGGTTCTCCCAGATTAGAGTCCGCGCACTTCTGAGCCTCCAGATCCCAGGTCCCAGAAGGCCTCCCTCCCTCCTTACCCAGCGAGCTTGATAATTCTATCAAACTAAGGGTGCGTTCAGACGCGCCGTTTGATCTGGTGTCGTCACGCTTCAGCGACGGATTTTATATGCGCGGTCACAAAGTCAACATCTGCCTCCCGTCCCCAGCTGTTGGTTCCCAGCTCAAAACCCCTTTAACCTCTTGTTACCAGATCCCGAAGTGGTGTTTTCTCAGCTCTCCCATTTAAAGCCGCATTTCCCCTCCGGTGTCAGCTCTCCCATTTAAAGCACTCCTCCGGTGTCAAGCCACTTCTGGCTTAAACCCCATCACCGCTCGAAAGCTGCCCAAGGTTTCCGCTTTTCACCCGCCATTTTAAAAAATGCGTTGGCGGTGTGCGCCTAGGCGGAGCTCCGCTACCGTGTTCAGAAAACCGACATTTAAACGGTCACTTGTTTTAGCGTTTTGATGAGTTCGAGATCTCACAGAGGCCATTTTCGGGTCAAACGTTTAAAGGGAAGTCTTTTGTTGGAGGGGTTGGATTGATTCGCCCTGGTGGTTCTGCGCATGTGGCATGATAGTCCCCCCCCCAATTCTATGGATGAGTGCCTATGCGCATGCGCAAACTGAGAAAAAAATTAAAAAACATGTTGACGCACGCTCCTGCACGTCGGTAGCGTAGACGCTGGGGAGCAACGTGACTGCGTGGTGAGGCAGGATAAGGGAGGTAAGTGTGATCGTGATTATCCCGATCAAATATAATCCGGTCAGAACCGGAGCAGTTTAATCTGGTCAGAACCGGAGCAGCATGCCGTCTGACCGCACCCTAAGAGTTCCTAAGAAGTGAAGCAGAAATCCTACATTCCTATTCCTTTGCTCGTTCCCTTGACGTAACCGTGAAGATACTCACTCGTAGCCGGGTCATCTGGGAAGGAAATACTCATTTGAGATCCTCCGGAGAAACTCTCCAGCCTTTCTTCAGATGCAAGGCCTTTGTCTGTCTCCACTGTAGTCTCGCTTACATTCCTGGCTTCCTTGGCCCAGAGAGAGAGAGAGAGAAGAAAAAGTGATCATTCTTATACGGGGAATGAAAGAAATCCAAGAAACCGGGGAAAAAAAATTCTTCTGGAAGGTTGGAGGTATGATCAGTGCTCCCTCTAAGCTGTGTCTGCTGCGTAAATTGGTTTGCTCTGGAGCCATCCCTTCCTGAGCTAAGACAAAAAATGTGTGAGCCGGAGGCTAAAAAAAACTGAGAGCTGGCTCACACTAACTCAGCTTAGAGGGAACACTGGATACGATCCAAGATCAAAGCCCACAATCCCAACCAGTGTTAAGGGGGACAGATCCATTCCAGATCTAAGTCACAATGGATGACTGCAACCCCCCTCAGGGGGAAAGGTGTGTTGTAAAGGCTGGCTGCTGAGAATTAGAACCTGGCACCTTCCAGAGTCCTTCTGAGGGCCTCTCAGCCCCACCTTTGCCTCGGGCCAAGACACCCTCTCTGGCTCGAGGGATGGCCACAACACTGGCTTCATCTGCCCCTGGCAAGCCAAGCGGCTTGGGTCACCCCCCCCAGACCATTCTAAACATCACTTTCACTGCCACCTCAACACCAGCATAGGACAATTAGTGGGGCAGGCCAGAAAACGATGAATTCATGTCCAATATTTTGATTCTTGCCTTATCCCAATGTCAGCAATTCACACCTTTGGCACCAATGAAAGATCCTTACCCAGAGAGGCCACAGTCCGATAGTTCTCCAGCATGACTTCCCGGTGGAGAGCTCTTTGGCCTGGATCCAGAAGGGCCCACTCCGCCTCGGTGAAATGCACAGCCACCTCCCCAAAGGAAAATGGAGTCTGAAAGAGACCAGAGATCACTTCGGGCAGAGAAGGCACACTGGAAGAAGTGCATTCTGGGAGGGCGCGGGATGGAGAGCTTCGCAGGGGTAAAGGGAGTGGCGTTCAGAGCCGCTTCCCCTCGGACACCTTAGGAGGAGAGACCTAGTCTGTTCCCCGCTCATCTCCCGTACCTCAACTGGAGGTGCAGCAGCCATTTCCACACCTTTGCAAAGACGATGGCTGGACGATGTCTCTCCACTGCCTGCAAGGGGGACAAAATTGGAAGGAAAAGTGTTAGCCTGGATTTCCTCTTCCATCGGCTCGTCTGAATCCTGCTTCGGGCACCCCTGTTCCCAAGGCTGTGAAGCCTTCCTCTATGTACATGCAACAAAACTTGTACTGTTTTTTTTGTAAACTGTTTGAGAGGTGGGATGGAAGCATCGGGTACCCACGTTTCAGACTTCAGTGAGACTTGTTTTATGCCCTGTCAACTCTGGAGCTCAAACATGCGACAGCTGGATCAGACCAAAGGACCACTCAGTCCAGGCACCTGCATCCATTCTCCCCCGGGCTTGCCCCTTCCATGTGCCCTCGTGTTCAGATGGGCAGGAGAAAAAGAGGGGGCTGGAAAGGATGGTGCGCAACACATCGCCCATATCACCATCCCATCCAGCCAAAACCCCAGATATTACTGTGGCACCTCATTCGATGCTCTGGAAAATCTAGGGCAACACTAGTGGGTTTCCATAGTGTCTGTGTCCAGGTTTTCAGCCAGACGAAACATCAACGTGACATTGAGTCTACCCCATGCCCCACCCTATAGCTCGCAGTGGAAGCCCTGGGTTTTGACAACAAACAAGGTCAACAGAATAAGAAGCAAAAGGTGGGTGTGGCTGGATGACCACACTTCTGGTAACATGGGGGTGCGGCCTAATGTGCTAATGAGCTGTGCTGTCAGGGGTGTGGCCTAATATGCTAATGGGTTTCTGCTGTTGGTTGTGGCCTATTATGCTAATGAGTTCCAGCTGGGCTTTTTCTACAAAAAAGAGCCCTGTTTATTAGTATTTTTACCCCGCCCTCCCCGCGAGTGGGCTCAGGGCGGCTTACAAGAGGGCAACAATGCCCACATAGAGAACAAGATTCAAACAGAATAAAATCATCGGATCACAATAAGAACAAGATGGCTTTCCAACAGTAAATGCCGGATCTTTCATTGGAGGTAGATAAGTGTCCTGTAGCTGGGGTACATGGCCAATCCAGGGGTACCCACCCAGCGCAGTATCATGGCAGATCTTCAAGGGCCGTCCTCTTACCCAGTTGTTACCCATGCTTTTGGTGGTGATGGTGGTAGTGGCGGCTCCTATGTAAAAGCCTGGCGGAAGAGCTCCGTCTTGCAGGCCCTGCGGAACTGTATGAGGTCCCGCAGGGCCCGGATCTCCTCCGGGAGCTCATTCCACCAGGTAGGAGCCGCCACTGAAAAGGACCTGGCCCTGGCTGCGGCAAGCCTTGACAGCTGGATTTGACAGCTGGATCAGACCAAAGGTCCACTCAGTCCACTCTTAACCACTTGAGCCACCGCAGCCCGACCTCGAGGAAGGGAACCAACTGCCTAATTAGCCAAAGATGGTAAAAGGCTGGTTTGGCAGTGACCACTACCTGGGCCTCCATTGTTAAGGAGGCATCCAAGAGCCACTCCCAAGCTCCTAACCTCCGGCGCTGGCACCAAGGGCACCCCATCAAAGGTCGGGAGTGGGATCCCTACCCCCGGAACGCCCTGGCTCAGGCACAGGACCTCCGTCTACGTCGGATTCAATTTCAGACAGCTCAGGGGAAAAGCCTCCAACCAGGCCTGAGTTTCAAGAGGAGGTTGTCCTAATTCAGCATGGAGGGCTACCCCCCGCTACACAATTCGAGATTCTGCAGATGGAACACGGGATTTAAGAAGAATTGAATCAAAGGACTTCCCTATTTTGCCAATCCACATAGAAGCTCCTTATAAACTTTGCATGGCCAACTTGGCGTTAGGCAGTTTGATGGTGGCTGGGATACACTGAACCCCCAGATTAATAAAAGAACCACAGGTGATATTTGTGTCAGAAAGCTGCCAAAGAACTCTGTGTGGTGCACAACCTTCCCTGTTTAGGGTCCCCCCCCCCTCTCCTGTTCCTAGTGATACCCAACTGCGCATGCTTGCTGGCATAATGAAGCACAGTTTGCTTGTCTCATGCATTCCTTTCTATGGACGCTAGTGCTGCTTTGAACTATGGTAATCAGCAAGGTCACAGGTGCGGGGAAGAGTCGGCTTCGCTTAGTCTATAATGAATTAGAGCGTGAGAAGAGATTAATTATCTTTCAGGAACCGTTGATTCTCAGGCTATGGGTGCGAGTATGATAGCCCACCCGCGCGAGCGGGAACCAAGTCCATTGGTTATTGCCAGTATGAATCTGCTTTATCATTCTTTGCCTCAACCGTTGTAGTTATTCCAAACAGTGAACTTGTTCCTGCAGCTCAGGGGAAAAGCCTCCAAACAGGCCCGAGTTTCAAGAGGTGGTTGTCCTAATTCAGCATGGAGGGCTACCCCTGCTACACAATTCGGGATTCTGCAGATGGAACACAGGATTTAAGAAGAACTGAATCAAAGGACTTCCCTATTTTGTCAATCCACATAGAAGCTCCTCATAAACTTTGCATGGCCCACTTGGCGTTAGGCAGGGCTTTTTTTTGTATAAAAAGCCCAGCAGGAACTCATTAGCATAATAGGCCACACCCAACAACAGACACTCATTAGCATATTAGGACACACCCTTGACAGCACAGCCCATTCGCATATTAGGCCACACACCCCATGTTACCAGAAGTGTGGTCATCCAGCCACACCCACCTTTTGCTTCTTATTCTGTTTACCTTGTCAAAACCCAGAGCTTTTTTTTGTAGCAACTCCTTTGCATGTTAGGCCACACACCCCAATCCTAATGAGTTTCTGCTGTTGGATGTGGCCTATTATGCTAATGAGCTTCTGCTGGGTGTGGCCAACTCAGGAGCCAGCCGGAACTCTGTTCCTGTGCGTTCCTGCCCAAAAATAGCCCTGGCGTTAGGCAGTTTGATGGTGGCTGGGATGCACTGAACCCCCAGATGAATAAAAGAACCACAGGTGATATTTGTTGCCGCTGTAGCCAATCTTTTAACATGAGCAGCTTGCACCACTAACCAAATCAATCTTTGGTCAAAGCAGACCCCTAAGTATTTCAAATGGGGGACCTCCCCAATATCCTCCCATGAATCTGTCTAATCCCCTTCCAAGTGAGTGGCCATCATTACTACATCCTCTGGCCCTGGGTCCCAGAAGTGTGCTCTGTGTTGTGTGCAGCAGTAGTTCTTTTTTGTCCCGTCCTAAATCTTCTACCCAACAACTTCACTATGTGCCCCAATCCTGTCCGGGCACGAGGCACCCTTACCACACGAGAGGGCACTCTGGGCCTGCTCCCTCTGCCCTTTCTCCAACGGAGCTTCTTCGGCCTCAGAGAATGTAGCTTCCATCTTCACTGATGGTCCCCACACCTGAAAGTGCAGAAAAGGGGATGGGTGAGAGAAGGAACGGAACAGGGGGAGGAGAAGAATCCTGCCCCACTCCCCGATTCCTGACACCTGCCTCGACCGGCAGAGCTGGTTCACCCACAGGGACAAGAAATATCTGGCAGGGAAACCTTAGGATAAGGTCGTTGCTTGAAATGAACGAATGAAACCACCTCACCTGCTCTGCCTGCCTCTTCTCCTCTGCCTGACTCAGGAGGAAACCTTCGGCCAGGGCCACCGCCTGGGAACTGGTCTCTGGCCCGCATCCTCTGACCCAGCACTGCATTTCCTCGGGCAGAATGGCCAGGATCTGCTCCAGGATCACCAGGTCCAGCATCTGCTTCTTGGTGCGCCTCTCTGGCTCCAGCCATTGGTTGCAAAGTCCATGGAGCCGGCTGCAAACCTCTCGGGGCCCATCAGTCTCATTGTAGCGGAACTGCCTGAACCACTGGCTGCGTACATTTGCAGTCATAGTGTCCTGAGCCATGATCTCCCTGCTTGGATGGGATGGGGAACTTTCCTCGATCTCTTGCCTATTCCAAATCCTCTTCCGTCTCCTTTCCCATCTCTTGGGTCACCTCCGACTGTGGAAAGATACCCTTACTCACTCGGCTATGAAGAAAGAGACAAAAAGACATCAAAAAGGCAGAAAGAAACAAAGAGAATGGAGCTACATTACTGACCCTGGTCAGGAGACATCTAAGAATTGCCCTGGTGGATCAGAAGGAGCGTCCTTGTTGTAGTTTGCACATCAGGGTTAATCTCATTGTGCTATATTACATAAGGGGCTGTGGTGGCTCAAGTGGTTAAGACGCTGAACTGCAGACTGGAAGGTCAGTAGTTCAGCAGCTCCAGACCCGAGTGTGCCGCATGACGGAGTGAGCTCCCATCTCTAGTTCCAGCTCCTGCCAACCTAGCAGTTCGAAAGCAAGAAATCGCAAGTAGATAAAGAGGTACCGCTTCGGTAGGAAGGTAACAGTGTTCCGTGTGCTTTGGCGTCTAGTCATGCGGGCCACATGACCACGGAAATGTCTTCGGACAGCGCTGGCTCTTCGGCTTGGAAACGGAGATGAGCACCGCATCCCTAGAGTCAGATTCAACTAGCTTTCAAGCAAGGGAAACATTTACCTTTACCTGCTATATTACATATAATCAGTTTTTAAAAAAGAAAAAGAAATAAATGCCCTTTTAGTCTTTCAGGAAAAGAAACAATCTCTATTCACAAATCTGGGCGTCCGATGACCGGGTATCAGCCTGTCCTGGGAGCGAAGTCTCCATGTAAACAAGAGCCCAGGACAAAAGGACCGGCAAGGGCTTGACCATCCCCTCCACAGACCAGAAGCACTAGGCAAAAGCCCTGTCCAAGAGCAGCCAGCAGAGGGGAAGGGAGAGGGGAGGAGTCATCTCCGCAGGTGAGGGCACAGGGGCTGCTGAGACGAACAAGAGCAGGGGGAGGCGGTGGATCTGCAGATGGGGGGGCAGGACCCCCCAAAATGTGTGTTCTGTGGGGCAGCCAATCATCCTTGTTGTACACATCGCTTATGAAACCCTTTGCACTCTGCCGCTGACTAAGTTAGTTTAACTTAGCAGGTGTGCTTAACGCTTCCATGGTGCATATGCTAAGTGCCTTTGATGATTCTAATCACAGTAACTGAAATCAATCATGAACATCTATTCAGATATTCACTCTGGTTCATCGCTTAAAATGCATTGTGGGTAAAATGCTAAATGCTGGCAGGCAATCATACTGCAGTGACTTGGCTTGTTCTCGCCAGTTGTGATCGGGCATGCCCCTGATGTCAGTTTGCTTGCCTTAGCTGAAGAACACTGCATGATGTACTAATATGTGTTACCATTAGATACTTTTTTAGAATTTCGCAGCCTAGGAAGAAGAAAGCCTATTGTTCAACTGAAGAAGGTATATTTTTGCCCGGGAAAATCCAACCCCCAGGTTGGATTCCCAATCAGAATGGTGTGACGGATATGTGACAAACTTCGATGGAACCAATAATTGTGATTTATTTCTAACTGTCATAGGGGGTATAAAACCCTATTGTCTCCCATTGTAACCTTAGGGAGAGCTGAGGGGTCCAAAACCTTATTGGGTCTGCACCTCCCTCCTTTGTTGATCAATAAAGTACAAGACCTGATTCTCCTCTACAGGACTGCCGTGTGCTTTCTCAAATTGGGCTGGGGGAGCACAACCTTTGACGGAGTTTCTGTCATACATCCTGAAGGATTCCTCCCATGGGAATAAGCCAGGGGACTCCCTTCTGGGCCTTCCTACGAGCTCCGTGGCTGAGGATTTATTTACACACTGACTCTGTATTTTAAAAATTCAGATCTCCCCCCCCTCTCTTCCCCCCCCCCACCACCAGAGTCTCCCAGGCGGCTAACAAAGTAAAGCAAAGTGCATTTTGAAAAACTCTTTAAATCCCAGCCCTCAATCATCATGCACCACGATAGCAGCGGCATTGCTCTCTCCCGGGACTGAAAAGCTCCCCCCCCCCCCTTTTTTTCTTTTTTTTTAGAAGCGTCTGCCATGCGCGGGAGCCAGACTGGAAGCCCGATTCTGCTCCCGACCTTTGATGGGGCAACTTTGGTGCCAGCGCCGGAGGTTAGTAGTCTGGGAGTGCTCCTAGATGCCTCCTTAACAATGGAGGCCTAGGTAGCAGCCACTGCCAAGGCTGATTAGCTGATTAGGCAGTGGGTTCCCTCCCTCGATCACAACGACTTGGCAACAGCAATCCATGCAATGGCCATCTTGAGATTGGACTACTGTAATATACTCTCTACATGGGACTGCCCTTGTCTCAAATCCAGAACTTGCAGCTGGTGCAAAATGCTGCGGCCAGGGTGTTGATGGGACTCCCAAGGCTGCTAGCATACAGAATTCGTTTCAAGGTGCTGGTTCTTACTTTTAAAGCCTTTATGGCCAGGGACCTGCATACCTGAGGGACCGCCTTTCCCCACATGTCCCCCGGAGAGCACTGCATTCAGGGGTCCAGAATCGATTGGCCCTCCCGAGTCTTAAGGAGGCCAGGCTGGGGACAACCAGGGTGCAGGCTTTCTCGGTGGCGGCTCCATCCTGGTGGAATGAGCTCCCAGAGGAGATCAGGCCCCTGCGGGATCTACTACAGTTCTGCAGGGCCTGTGAGATGGAGCTCTTCCGCCAGGCTTTTGGAGCCACCTCCACCTCTAACAACTAGGAAGAGAAGCCCTCTTGCCCTGAAACTTGTATTAACAACTGCTCCAGCCACTGGAGGGACACCTGAAAGACCCCTATAGAAGATCTGCGCCGGCCATGGGAAGAGAGAGTCGATGGTAGACATCACGGACTCTATAATAACAAAACTAGCACTTATTATGGAGCTGTAATCTTTTAAGATACTGTTATAAATGTTTTATTGTACTATTTGAATGTTTTCTGCTGTTTTATGTAAGCCACCCTGAGCCAGCCTTGGGCTGGGGGGACGGGGCACCATTTTGAATGAATGAATAAATAAATAGGTGGGGGAGGGGAAAACAAAGGGAGAGAGAGGTGGACAGAAACTAAATAAATGGGAGGGAAGGAGGGAGGGAAGAAAGAAAGCAACTTGAACTTTAAATGTGTTTTCCAACCCCAACACCCCCACGCAAGCCAGCTTGGCTTGGAGAAAGGATTTAAATAAACAAATGCTTTCTCCAAGCCGGTGGGCAGGGCTGCGGGGCGAGGGCTTGGAGAATGCCTTTAACTCTAAATGTGTTCTCCAAGCCAACCCCCGCCCCAATCCCAGCTTGGCTTGGAGAAGGGATTTAAAGAGACAAATGCCCTCTCCGACCCGTGTGGCAGGGCTTGGGGAACACATTTGACTTTGGATGGGGAGGGAGGAATGAGAAAAGAAAGCAAATAGATGGGGGAGGGAGGGGTTGGGAAGAAAGCTACTTTAAATCCATCCTCCATGCCTCCCCCTGCCTGGCTTGGAGAAGGTATTTATAGCGACAAAGGCCTTTTCCAAGCTGGCTGGTTGTGAGAACGTATTTAAAGTTGCTGTCTTTCTCTACTCCCCCCCACACACCTCAAGCCTACCCAGGGAGGAGAAGAAGAGATTGGATTTATACCCCGCCCTTCACAACCCAAAGGTGTCTCAGAGTGGCTTACAAACTCCTTTCCCTTCTCCTCCCCACAACAGACGCCCTGTGAGGTAGGCGGGGCTGAGAGAGCTCTGACAGAAACTGCTCTTTTTCAAGACCAGCTCTGACAGAACTATGGCTTGCCAAAGGTCATCCAGCAGCTGCAAGTGGAGGAGTAGGGAATCAAACCCGGTTCTCCCAGATTAGAGTCCACGCACTTTAACCACTACACCAAACTAGGGGGTCACTAGCTGGGGAAGGGGAAGACCAATCTGTCAGGCATGCCACCCCTCCGCTTCCCCAGCCACTCTGCCGGGATCCACACAATATGTGTGAAGGAGCCACATGTGGCTCCCGAACCGGAGTACGGCCACCCCTGCTATAGATGGTGGGGGAAACCCAAAGAGCCATTCACGTGGAGAACGTTCGAGCTTCCCTCTAGGTCTGGATTTGGAACGGAGCAAGGGGCAAAGCCCGGGGTGCCCTTTAGCCCAGCGTCCCTACGGATTCTTTTGCCTTCCACCGTCCGTCTAGACCCACCCACAAAAAGGATATACTCTCGATTTTCCAGTGGAATTTCTTTAGGGACTGAGAGGCTGGTTGGAACCTCTTGAACCATGGAGGAACAGAACTTTCTCAAGCCTTACGTATAGGTAGGAAGAGGGTGGGGGCAGGGTTGGTTGCCAGGAAGGGTGAGTCAGAGTCAAGACCCCCTAAAGGTAACTGGCAATAATTTTAAAAATTTATTTATTGTATTCATAACCCGCCCTCCCCGCAAGCGGCTCAGGGTGACTCACTTTGCCTGGCACAGTGTGCCAAGATTCATATACAGTTAAAACATTTAAAACTTAACATTTAACACTGTTAAAACATTTATACAATCGACAATCTGTTTTATTCTGAAATCAAAATAAAACAGTTGGTAAAACCAAGGGAGGAGGAGGAGATTGGATTTATAGCCTGCCCTTCGCTACCCGAAGGAGTCTCAAAGCAGTTTACAATCTCCTTTCCCTCCCCCTCCCCACAACAGACACCCTGTGAGGTGGGGTGAGAGAGCTCTTGACAGAAACTGCTCTTTTTCAAGAGCAGCTCTTATCAGAACTATGGCTTTGCCCAAGGTCATCCAGCCATGTGCAAGTGGAGGAGTGGAGGAATCAAACCCGGTTCTCCCAGATTAGAGTCTGCACACACTTGGCCACTACACCAAACTGGAGATTGGATTTATACCTTGCCCTTCGCTACCTGAAGGAGTCTCAAAGCAGCTTACAATCTCCTTTCCCTCCCCACAACAGACACCCTGTGAGGTCGGTGGGGCTGAGAGAGCTGCTCTTGAGAGAACAGCTGTGAGAGAACTTGTGACTGACCCAAGGTCACACCAGCAGCTGCAGGTGGAGGAGGGGGGAATCAAACCGGGTTCTCCCAGATTAGAGTCCTCACCACCAAACCAAACTGGTTAAAGTGACAATTCAAAACAACAACAGAATAGTTTAAAAAAAAAA